TTCCACTATACTCTCCTCCTTTCTCTTCGCCTTGGTCTCCACCCTTTTTCCTCTTGCCTAACGCTCCAGCTCTTTTAGAGGTATATAGATCCTCTCTCTCTCTCTTTCTCTCTCTCTCTCTCTCCCCCTCTTAATACTGTGTTTTGTCCGTCTGTCAGTGTCAGCCTTCCCCCCTTCCTCCCCTCCCCCTCCTCCCCACCGCCCTCTTCCAAAAAAAAAAACAGCCCTCTCAATATTGATGACTGCCAAGAGCGGGATCCGGCGAAGGAGACTTCTGAGGTGAGCAGGCGGAACGAATAATGGAGGCGATAGCACTGCACATCGTCCCGACCACGTCGGCGTCGTCGGGATTGGGATCGCTGATTGCATTGGGAAGCGCGGGAGAAGAACGCAATGGGCGGAGTTGGGGCCACGACTGTACATCGAGGTGCCGTCGCCGCCGCCTGGGCGCGGCGGCTTCTTGTTGTCGTACGGTCGGGATCTCAACGCACGGCCGGAGGGATGATCGCCGCTCACGATCCCGATTAATCATCGCCATCCCTCACGTGAGCTCTCCGCCGCTGGATGAAGATCACAACGCTTGGTTGTCCGCCCCGTCTACCCTTACCCTTTGTTCTTCTCTATGCGCCTCCGCCGCCTCCGCCGCCGCCGTCGGCGGAACCGGCAATGAAGTGGCTTCGGCGAAGGTAGGCAGGCCGATGCGGCGGGCTCACAGATCCGGTTCGGCATCAGCCCCCCCCCGGATGGGGGTAATTAGACATTCACACCGGGGAGGCTGTTACGCGGCGGCGAGGGAGCACGGCCATGTCCTTCCTGTCTTGGACGGCGAGGAGGGCAACCCCCGTAGCAAGGCTTGCAGCAGAAATGCTGCCATCACAAGACTTAGTGAAATCGCCCGCGCACATTGGATGCTGAGCAAGAAGAAGAACAAGGAAGGGGTGATGACACGTGTCACCGCCTCGGACGAGGAGCCTTCTCCAAGCAGCAGTAGCAGCAGCAGCAGCAGGGTGTCTCTTACGGAGGAAGAAGAAGTGACGTCAACGACGAGAGAAACCACCTACGCCTCCCAAAGTCTGGATACTGCAGCACATTCTCATCCGAAGCAAGGGGACAATGAGGAGGAGAATGAGGAGAATGAGGAGGAGAATGAGGAGGAGGAGGAGGAGGTAAGGTCTTCGGTGCGGGAGAAGGCGGTGTGCACGGACAATGACACCGACGGTGCAGAGGAAGATACCTACGGGAAAGGAAACGAGCTATGGCTGTCGCAAGAGATGGAACGACTGCGAGCCCTCCAACGAGGTCCTGGTACTGGTCTCATTCTGACAAGAGGCAAATGGGACTGGGTCATCAAGGAACCAGGGCATTACCAATTCCAAGGCCAGATGGTTTTTCACAACGTGACAAAAAGATTCGAGGTCTTTGTCCCAGAAGTGGAGGGAGAAGTGACTCTGCTCTCCCAAGGCAGCATAGCCGGGATCTCCACCTCCATCAGCATCCAATCCAGGCACCCAGGAGGTACTCCCCCCCCCCGACCAGACGGGTACTGGCAAGCCTACATTCTCCGTGCAGGGCACACGACAACCATCGATATTGTCGTTGATCTTCATGTGGCCAAGGAGGCAGCCGATCTCCTTCCCTTACAACAACTGAAGGCCTTGAGAATCGACATCAACTACGTATCGTACGGTCCACATGGGCGATCAGACGAAGCACAGCAAGTCATTCTCCCCACGAAGTACCCCTCCTCTTCCTCCTCTTCCTCCTCCTCTTCCTCCTCTCCTCCATCTTCCTCCGGGATTGCTTTGTTGCTGCACACATCACAGCTCCGATGGCGGCAGGTATCCGAGGAGTTGATGGTTCTCCCGATCCCGACCCACCTACTCTGCCATTTGGATGACCCGGTCTCTGTGGTCAAGCGGTATGTGGTCCCCCATGCCCGCCCTGGCGATGTGCTGGCTATGGGGGAAACCCCCCTGGCCATAATGCAGGGTAGGTTCCGCCACCCAAAGAGCGTCAGGGTCACGTGGGTTGCCAGGCTGGCTTGCCTCGTCTTCCACCCCACCTCTAGTCTTGCCACTGCATGCGGCATGCAAAGCCTGATCGACATCGTCGGTAAGCTGCGCGTCATCTTTGCCTTCATCGTGGCCGTTGCTGCTCGTCTCGTCGGGATCCGGGGTATGTTTTACCGATTAGCGGGAATCCAGGCTCGACTTATTGATGACGTCACCGGCACTCTCCCTCCCTACGACCAGTTCATCTCCCTTGGCCCGATTCGCGTCCAACAGACTGTAGAGAGCATCAAGCAGAGAACGGGGTGTGACGTGGCGATCGTAGATGCAAATGACTTGAAGAAGGTGGATGTGCTAGGGGCGGCTGAGCAGGTCGACAGAGACAGACTGAGGCAGGCGCTGATCGACAATCCGGCGGGAAACGGAGATGAGCAAACGCCGTTGGTTCTGGTACGGAGAGTGAGTGCGACAAAAAAATAAGTAAAGAAAAAGATTAAAAAAAAGAGTTGCTTAATTCCGTACTTTCACTTCAATGTTTTGGGTTTTCGGGGTAGATAAAAGGTAAATGAATAAGAAGAGCCAAGAAAAAATGATCTGGGCCATCCGAGTAAAATACCGGCTCTTCTTATTCATTTATCTTTTATCTACCCCGAAAACCCAAAAAATTGAAGTGAAAGTACGGAATCAAGCTGAAGTACGGAATCTTTTTCTTTACTCGGAGAGAACTGCAGGGAAGGGAGAGAATGCATCTGGACAAGCTTCTGCTCTCTCACTTCCCCTCTGGCCGGTATTTTACTCGGATGGCCCAGATCATTTTTTCTTGCTTGCTATGGCGTTGGGTTCTTTCCCAAGGACAGGAATGGGTGAGGGCCTGCAGCTGGAAGTAGCGATAGAAAAGGTGCGCGGGGAGAGAGAGAGAGAGAGAGAGAGAGAGAGAGAGAGAGAGAGAGAGAGAGAGAGAGAGAGAGAGAGAGAGAGAGAGAGAGAGAG